ATCCTGAGAAGACAGGTCTGGGCCTTGTCAGTAATTGGGTGGGAGGCCTTAGAGCCGAAACTAGCTCCTGTTTGACAGGATGTTATGGGGAACATGTAAACCTGGCCTACAAGTTAGGGCATAGTCAACATCTGCCCACATGACACCAGGCACATAAGGGCTCCTCAGAGGGCTGCCACAGCATGCCTTCTCATGTTCATTGAGGCCAAGACTTTAGAGACTTTTGTTTTGGCATGAAGTATAAGTCAAATGAGAATATTTCTGTATTGCAGTTGTATATGTTAAGGAATGGCTTTAGTTTGGTTACTAGCTTCTCTGTTCTTTGTTCTAGCCATTAGGTACACATTTGGTTAAAGGATTCATTTAAAGATAAAAGAAGAGATCATGTATTCATGGTATGCCACTATTGCTCCTGGTTTGACCTCTATAAATTTTAGAACCTTAAAAAATTTTAAACTTTTAATTTCTGAACTTTAAAGAGCAGTGCTTCATATGACTCATTTTGTTCATTTGCCTTTGAGGCAGCCTTACCACAGTAACACTGCTTTATCCAGCAGTTAGAGCCAAATTTAGTCCTGATATTAGAAAACAACTTTGAATCTGAAAGAGCCCAACACATGTAGATGTTCACACATAGGTTTTGGCAAAGATTTGCTTTCTAGAAATTGAGACACTTTAGTTCAGCTCTTCAGACATTTCGGGTGATCACTCAGAAGAACCTTTTTTGAACACTCTGTGAAGAAATTTGTAAAGATTATAAGAAGTAGCAACTTAGATAACCAAGTAAGTTATGCTAACTTTTATATTTAAAGGCATGTGTTTTTTTTTTTAAGTGCTGGTATTGGGGCTTGTACTCAGGGTGTAAGTGCTATCTCTTAGATTTTTTCTGTGAAAGCTGGCACTCTGCCATTTGAGCCATACTTCCACTTTGGCTTAGTTAAATGGAGATGAGAGTTTCATGTACTTTCCTGCCTTCTGAGGATTATTTAAAATTTTCAGTATTAGTTTTTTTAAAAAAGACAATATCCACCTATTTAAAAAGTAAAAAGTGTAGGATTTTCTTTTTTACTGTTCACTTTTCTGGCCAGTTCATATAAGTACATGTGCTTCTCATTTTACCCTTGCTCCTCCTTCCTCAAAGTTGCATGATTACCCTCAAACAGATGAACTTTTAAGGGAGAAAAACAATGTTTTTACCTTATCTTGGCATCACTAAATTATAGAATATTAAAATAAAAAATCCCTAGAAGGAATAGAAGTCATGGAATTATTGTGACTTTTAATGTACTGCCTGTGGAAGGCTGCGCTGAAACCAAAGATAAAAATGTGCCTTTGCTGTCAAGGGCCTGAGAGTCAAATGCTTTCACTTTGGGAATCCTTTATTTCCTACTGGCCTCTTTATCAAGCAAATTTGTTCTCAGCCTCTCACCAGGGTCTCAGTGTCTGTCTACTGTTCCTGGGATATTTAAAGCTCTACGTAGTATGTTTTTTTCCTCTTTCTTTGCTCCTAAAATTGTTCTCTATTTCAATTAATAGCATGACTGTCCTAGTGTCAGAACTTTGGCCTATTTTAATACATCATTAATACATTATATACATAATAATTAATACATAATAATACATTAATACTCTCTCTGAAGTATTTTTGCATTAGTTTTATTTGGTTACTGAGCTAGTTTAGAATAGTGATTATTCAAGTGTGGGTTGCAAATGAATTAGCACTTGCCAATGTACTGAATTCTTTATAGTATGATAAAGTGCTATAACTCAATTTGCTAGAGCATTTCATTGGTGGGGTTCTAAATGGTAGGAAGCAAGTCAGAATGCACAGGTTTTTACCACTGACCAAGACTACTGGTAACAGTAAGTCGCACTGAGTGAGTAGTTGAGTGAATTTGCCCAAATTCATTATTATTATTATTTCAGGAATATACAATTAAAGCATAGTCCTCATTCTGATAAGTCTGTGGATTTATGGGGGAGTTTCAAGTTTGTTTTTGTTTTTTGAGATAGGATATCACTACATAACCCAGGCCTGTGTGGAATTTATCATGTAGTCCAGGCTCATCTCAAATTTGAGACATCCTGTTTCTGATTCCAGAGTCTGAAATTACAGGTGTATACCACCACACCTACCTCTGGTTTTTCTTTATGTAAGAAGATGTATGTAATCTCTATACATACATCTTGTGCTTACCTAGGAAACTTTTAGAAAATTGTCAGTTTTTCTAAGTAAAACTGTATTTGTTACTTATAATCTGTTTATTTTATAATTACTAGAAAGGAGACTTAGACTTGCCATTTTGACTACTTGCTTTTATTTTTCAGATCCACTGAAAGAAATTTCAGGTAGTCTGTTCATGTTTGTTATGATGCAATAGTACAGTGAACATAATATTCTTGAATGGCACAGGACACTATTAGTACAGACTTCATGGTTTGATAAACAGTATTTAATTTTCTCTTTCTTTCTTTCTTTCTTTCTTTCTTTCTTTCTTTCTTTCTTTCTTTCTTTCTTTCTTTCTTTCTTTCTTTCTTCCTTCCTTTCTTTCTTTCTTTCTTCTCTTTCTTTCTTCTCTTTCTTCTCTTTCTTTTGCCAGTCCTAGAGCTTGAACTCAGGGCCTGTGCACTGTCCCTAAGCTGCTTTTGCTCAAGGCTGGCACTCTACCACTAGAGCCACAGCACCAATTATGAGTTTTTCTGTTTATGTGGTACTAAAGAATTGAACCCAGGGCTTCATGGATGCTAGGCAAGCACCACTAAGCCACATTCCGAGATCTTAATTTTCTTTATTAGGTAAGGATGGGTATTGAGATTTGAACTTAGCATGGAAAATTGTAGTTCAACTTAATATAAAATATTGGTACAAAAAATGACAACGATTTATCATAGATTCTATTTTTCTCCACTGAATGCTTATGAGTACTTTGATGGCAAAGTAGATCTGTTAGTTTGTTGATTAAATCAGTGGATGGATGAGAAGTTAAATGTCCCTACATTATGAAATAAAACTATCAATGTTTCTGATGAAACTATTATTATGATTTGATCATACCTTTCTTAGTCTTTGAGGATAAAGCATAGTTTTTTCCCCTTTTATCTTTATTGAAAAGGTAATGGGGGGGGGTGGTCACCATCACATAAGTAAGGTAATAAATACATTGTTTTTAAACACTGTTAGCCCATCCTTCATTTTCTCCCTTTTACCCCTCTCTACTTCCCTCTCCGCCCAAGTTGTAAAGTTCATTCCAATATAGTGTCAAGTGAGTATCAATGTTGCGTTAGTTCATCCTTTATCCTGTATCTGTGATTCCCTTTTTCTTCCACAGATCAAATAAACTTATATAAAAGACAAAGGGTACAGAAAAATAAAAAAGAAATAACTACATACAAGATATAATAAGAACCTCTTGTTTCCAATTCTTGGAGTTGATGTTTATATGTTTCATTGTATGTGGTCCTTTGCACTTAGCAGTTGGTTTAATTTTTTTAAATTTATTTATACCGTACAGAGGAGTTACAATTACATGGGCAAGATAATGAATGCACTTCCTATCAAGCATTGTTGCCTCCTCTTTGTTTTCCCTTCTCCTCCCTTCCCATGCAGTTGGTTTATTGAGATCCTCTCTTAAGAATATCATAGACATATTCTAGTTCTTAAAAGTGAGGGTCGAAACTTCCTAATAAAGATCCCCAAAAACCATGCAACATACTTTTCATTACTTTGCTTGATATAATATTTTCCAGGTCTTTCCATTTCCCTACGAATGGGACAATGTCATTCTTTTTGATGGAAGCTTAGAACACCATTGTGTATATATACCACATCTTCTTGATCCTTCATCTACTGAGGGGGCTATGGTAAATAATGCTGCAATGAACATGGTTGTGCTGTTAGCTTTAGTATAGCCTTGTTTGTGGTCATTTGGATAAAAGCCCAGGAGTGGGATTGCTGGGTCATAGGGGAGCTTTATGTTTAGTCTTTTGAGGAACCTTCATGCTACTTTCCAGAGTGGCTAAACAAGGTTGCACTCCCACCATATTCCCGCCAGCATCTGTTATTAGATTTCTTGTTAACGGCCATTGTAACTGGGGTGAGGTGGAATCTCAATGTTGTTCTTTTATGGCTAGAGATGTTGAACATTTTTTTCATGTATCGACCATTCTTATTTCCTTTTCAGAGAAGTCTCTCTTTAAGTCTTAAAGCCCACTTGTTAATGGAGATTTGTTTTGGGGGAATTTAATTTTTGATCTTTTCCCAATTTATGGGTTCTCTTTTTATCTTGCTAGCTATGCACTTTACCATGCAGAAGCTCTGGAGTTTAATGTAACCCCATGTGTCCACCCTTTTTGGGGGGATCTTTATTAGGAAGTTTTGACCTGTGCCAAAAAGTCCTGGTGTTTGCACTGTTCCTTCCTGTAATATTTTCAGGGTATCTGCTTTTACCTCGAGGTCTTTGATCCATTTGGAGTTGACTCTGGTGTAGGGTGATACATATGTATGTAATTTCAGTTTTCTACAGGTGTTTAACCAATTTTGCCAGCACCATTTGTTGAAGAGGCTGTGTTTCTTCCATCCTGTTTTTTTATTGTTGTTTTGTTTTGTTTTTGTCTCCCTTATCAAAGATTAGGTGGGCATAGGTCTGCGGGTTCCTTTCTGGGTCTTCAGTTCTATTCCGTTGGTCTTCAGGCCTGCTCTTGTGCCAGCACCAAGCAAAGCATAGTTTTATTGCTTTCAGATTTTCAAAGCACTAGAGCAAAATAATAAAGCTCATGGGGCTGGAGATGTGGCTTAGTGGTAGAATGCTTGCGTCACAATTCCTCAATACAACATAAACAGAGAAAGCCAGAGTAGCACTATGATTCAAGTGGTAGAGTGGTAGCCTTGAGCAAAAGAAGCTCAGGAACAGTGTCCAGGCTCTGAGTCCAAGCCCCAGACTGGCCATTAAAAATAAATAAATAAATAAATAAAGTCCCCCCCACCCCCCATGGTCATCACCATGTCCTCTGCCGTGAATGCTCTGCAGCTGTTGGTAGAATAACTCAAGCTGGAGGCCAACATGGAGTGAATCAAGATCTCTCATGCAGCTGCAAAACTTCAATTGTACTGCATACAGAATGCCTGCAAGGATGCTCTGTTGGTTGGTGTTCAAGCAGGAAACAGTCCCTTCTGGGAACCCAGGTCCTGTGCTTCATTGTGAAGACTGTAGGAAAGAAGTTCCTTGAGGAATGCCTTTAAGTGATGAAAGTCTTCAAGTCTCAAGAAAGTATTTTTTCTCTAGCCAAATAACCATTAGATATTCAGATTTTTTCTGTGGCTTGATCATATAGACTTAGGTATGCAGAAATTAAATAAGGTAACTGAATGAAGTACAATTCTAAATAATAATGACCTAGTTCTTTTGCTGAAGTGCTTTTGTATTAAGACAAACAACCACCCTTACCACCAAATATATGAAAATACACCTCTTTCATAAATGAACTTCTGGTTTTTCTATATCTGGAATATTATGTATGTTTTCTTTACTGGATGTTTACATTTAGGAAGGAAACATTTTTGTTTATTAAAATAATTGAGTATAACTTGTTCCTAAGACCTTTATACTACAATAAATTTTCTGTTCTCATGAATTTACAGTTATTAAATGAAGATAAAAGTATTAAAGTAAGGAGGATAAATAGGCTTTACTAACCACAAGAAGTCTTTTTTTACATGAGATTTTCATTTTTAAATGAGAACATACTTTGTGTTAAACGCTAAACCCTAGTGATGCATCCTAGAAAACTTGAAAAGATTAATGTTAATGATGTGATTAATTTCCCCATCTTGTACATGAAGCAGATTTGATCTTTTCTCCCTTAAGTTCCTTTACTTTATAGTTGTGGTGATCTTTTAAAAATACAACAGCTACTTATTTTCTGTCTTTAAATTTTTTTAAATTATGATGTTGCAAATGGTTAAAAATAAAGTAAAATAAAAACATTACAACCTAAAAGAAGTCTTCATGTCACAAAGGTTTTACTTGGATGATGTGCTTTTAATTTAGTTTTGGGATACTTTTAGAAGAAGACGTCCTGTTTGTAATAATCTTTGGAGAGGCTGAAAATAAAATTTCTGCTTAATTCAAAAAAGTGAAATAAAGCTTCTGTATTACTCAAGACTAATGAAACAAGTCTAGCATTAGGGAAGTTGCAAATATTACTCAAACTCAGGTTTTTTTTCTTTATTTTAAAACAAACATTGTGTTTATTGTTTATTAGAATTAAAAAAAGAGAACTTTTTCCCACAGAGTGTTGCTTCTTATCCATATCATGAGCAAGGTAACAGTTGAAGTTTTTATTTCTGAGAAATATAAAAGTTAGTAGATTTTAAATATAGCAGGTGATTATAGTAAGGGGAAAAATTTTTGTAGGCTGAGTGCCTGTGGCTCATGCCTGTAATCCCAACTACTTAGGAGTTAGAAATCAGGATTGAAGTTTGAGGCAAACCCAAGCAAAAAGTTAGCAGAATCCCACCTCAAGCAATAAGCAAGTATGATCATATATATCTTTGATCCCAGCTACATGGGAGGAATAGAAGAACTGTGGTATAACAAGATTTAGGCAAAAACTTGAGACCCTATTTGAAAAATAGCTATCAAAAGCCTTGGGAATATTGTTTGTGTGGTGGAGTGCTTAATAATCAAATGTGAGGCACTGAGTTCAAATGTTGGTACCACCATAAAACAAACAAAAGTCATGCAGCAGTGGTACTCAGACACTATGTTTAAAATGAACTATAAAACTTGTGATCAAAGTTGTAAAGTTCGTTTTCAACATAACGACTTGTACATCTCATTGTTGCAATGGATCCACCTGTATCTCTATTTTTACAACTTTGGTGCGGGGCGGGGCAGGGGGGAACGGGGGAAGGAAGGGAAGGGCTGGGAAGGGGAAACAAAGGAGGAGGCTACAATGCTTGATAAGAAATGTACTCATTATCTTGCCCATGTAATTGTAACCCCTCTGTACAGTATTTTCACAATAAAAAAACAAAAACAAAAAAACTTGTGATCAGGGACAGAAAGGGAAAACTGGAGAGAGGGAAAGGAGGGTGACTTTGTCTTTAAAGGAAACATACTCATTACCTGACTTACGAAACTAACCTCTCCATACATCACCTTTATTATTATTACTATTAATAATATTAATAAAAAACCTTTTTTGAAAACAGAAAAGCAATATTTTAAGTATTATATCAGATGATATGGCAAACATAATATAGCAGGACAGGACAAGGGAAGCAAAGCCCTCCAAACCTATTAGGAACTCTGTGAGGTGTTAGCAGAGGGGCTTCACTAAAGGGACTGGAGAGCACAGAACAGGACCACAGCCAGCCCTCAGTGATGACCTGGAAACTCATACTAATTTGACGTCATGTCCAGGGTTAGCAATTTGGAGACATTATATGTACTATGTATATATTACATCTATATTAATCGTAACTGCATTTCTTTATATTTCTATTATATATTAATATATATTATAAATATGCTTAATTATAAAATCATGTATGATCTTATATATAATATATTAATACATCTATATGTTATACATAATATATAAAGTGTGTACATGTATAATATATGCATGATATATAATTTCATATATTTATAGCATATACATATGCACACATAAAACATTCTTAGTCACTTTGCACACTTTATTATTTGTGCTACAGTTTGTAATAGTTAAGTCTTAGAAAATGAGCATTAAACCTATTAAAATAAAAACCTTAAAAAGCTGTGGGGTTTTTTTAACAGAAAAATATTCTGTACATTCTGTAAACTTGTTTTGCTTAAACAATGGCTTCAGTTTGTTTGGTTGGTTTTTTGTTTTGTTTTGGTTTTTGTGCTGGTTGTGGGACTTGAACTGGGTGTTGTCTCTGAGGTGCTTTTGCTGAAAGCGAGCTCCTACCACTTGATCCACAGTGCCATTTCTGGCTTTCTCTGAGAAGTTTATTGAAGATAAGAGTCTCACAGACTTTACTACCCTGGCTGGCTTCAAACTGCAATACTCAGATCTCAACCTCCTGAGTAGCTAGGATTATAGTTATGAGCCACCAGTGCCCAGCTTAAACAGAATGCTTCAACTTTACCTTTCATCAAACTTTTCCTGAAAAGAGACTTCTGTTTTATCTGTAGTGATGGGAAGATTACACACTGCAAACATGCACTGTCCCTTTACCCCACAAAGGGGACAGCTTTCTAGCAAGCTAGAAGCCTTTAGTTATCCATTTTGCCACCTGCATGCACCAGGGTGGCTGTGCCCCAAACCTCCCAGGCTGCCTGAAAGAGTCTTGTTCTGTGGTAAAGTTTTATGCAAGAAAAAGTCACTTAGGGGAAACTATAAAAATATGTTTAAAGTTTGCAGGTGGACTTTAAATAATGTGGTGCTATTGCCTCCAGTGCTCTCCCAGCTGTCTTGAGTGTTTTCTGTGATGCTCAGCTCTGGAACCTTCATTGCTCACAGATTGGATTGAATGTCATCACTAATGATCCTCACCTGAGGACCTGCCCATCCTGGTCAGCTAAAAGAAGCTGCATAGGACACAGCAGTATACCAGCACACTGTTCTCAGTAGTAGCTCCAGAATGATTTCAGAGGGTCCAGTTCATGGTCACTTAGCCCTAGGTCTTTGGCAGAGCATCATAGCAGGGGGAGCAAGAGGAGGAGGTTCTCAACTCCTGAGGTAGGCAAGAGGCAGAGACTGTCTTTTCTATTCTTTTCTTATCTTTTCTTTCCTTTCTTTAACATTTAAGTAAGATTTAGACAGAAAATATTCCCTATAAGTGGTACTTAAAAATATTTTTTCCATTAATGGCTGACATTTTTAACTCAGCCAAGTCCACTTAAAATTCACATATCTTTACCTACTCTTGAAATATAAAGAAATGCAGCAACTAGTAGATTTGGCATTCCTTGGCAGGGGTTTGGCCATGTCTGAGGGGCACAGTTTGAAAGAAAGTTTGGCTTGTCCTCAGGGCTCCTGCTGTCCACTCCTTTTACTCCTTCCTTTCACTTCTTTCAGATGCCTGGAGCTGAAGGCCACTGGTGTTAGACACTTTGGTAAACCATTCTGTTGCTAACACAAGTCATGACAATTGATATATTTGTGTTTATTTAGACAGCTGAAGAAATGTTTCTGTCATCCTTACACTACTGACTTTGATATAGAACAAACATGCCTAGTTACTTAGAATAATGTGTCCTTTCCTTCCTACTTGCTCATTTCCTACCAATCTCCCCCACTCTTTTTTCTCACATATTTGATATTGTTTTCTCTTTTGGAAGTTGAATATCTGGATCCTCTCAATGGATGTTAAGGTACCAACTTTTAAATAGGTGAATGAAAACATTAATAAAAATATGTGGAAAATCCTATTAGGACAGTGGTTAATGGTTTAAAAAAATCACTCTTCACCTAGAAGTATCATAGTTAAATTTCTTTTATAGTCTTAAAGAATGTTGAACAGGTAAGAGTATGTGTACATACATTTCTCTGTACTTCTTGTTTTTTTTGTATCCATAAGGTCTTAATGTATATGCCATGCTTTTTTAGTTTTCTGTGTCTTTTCAAGCATATGTAATCCTACCAAATTCTTCTTAATGGTTGCATAATATTTTATTGGATAAAGTACCATAGCCAGAAATCTAATAGTCTAAAAATACACAGTGATACTGACTTTTGCACAAGATTCAAATGGCACTGAAGAATGTATTTTTCAGTGCAGTGACTTTACAGAGCCATTTTACAATTACTGGCTAAACTGCAATGAATGGATCATCCAGTAGCCTGAGTTGGAATATATCACAGAGAAGGACATATGTATGCCTAGTGAAGCAAGTCTAGTGACTATGTACTACATTACTGTTGTAATGTGAAAATTTGTAAATGCCTATGTCTACAACACTGAAATAGGTGAATAGCATTTGCAGACTCTGGCTCCGGAATACTACATATCAATGAAGATTAATGATTTACAGTTCTCCTGTTCTATGAAAATAATGCTGTATGTATGATTTAAAAATACTTTTAAACAAGTTCTTATGAAATGCTAAAGTCAGGAGACAATTTTAACAGTTGCTGAAAGAAGACCACCATGTGGTTCAGGCAGAAGAGAGTTTATTAGGAGAACCAAACCTCCAGCCTGCACTTGAGAGTAGCGTGTAGAGGGTAGCACACAGCGTG